GCTCTACCCTGAGGTCTCCTTCCAGCTGGACGTTCCCAGAAAACCTCCAAAGCAGGGGGACCAGGAGGCATTCTGATCAGATGCCCCGAAACCAACTCACCTGGCTCCTGTCGACATGAAGGAGCAGCTCCTCGCCCCGTCTCTGAGGAAATGAGTTCCACTCTACAGAGGAAGCTCATCTTGTCTCTACCATCTTTGTTCAGTGTGTAAAATACTGTTTGCTGTGCTGTGTGCCTGATGAGCCCAAACTCAGCAGCTTTATTATGAACGTCAGTTGTTTTTTAAATTCCTGCATGTTATTTCAACTTCCCGTCCATTTTATTATCATGTTCATGTGTGTCGAGGCTTTTCTGGAGCTTCTGCAGCCCCTCAGCTGCCGTTATAATCAGAACCAGAACAGAAGGAGGAAGAGAAAGTGCACTGAGTTCTGAGCGTCCCATCTGAGTGCCCACCATGACCTCCGGGTGACCTTCAAAATAATATCACTGTGGTGGTTTTGTGTACAGAACACGAGGACGGAGCCTCTGTGGGTGGGACAACGTGGAGTCATTCCTCATGGTGAGAGTCTCTGGGTTCCCCCGCTGTCATGATTGCGCTGTCGAGTGTTTCTGAGACAAATTTAAAAGACATAATCGTTAAACTGCACATTCTGGTCGCCTGATGGATGTCGTCGTCTGAGCAGAAAGCAGACTTTATGTGTTTAAGCTCGGTGTAATGGCAGCGCGCTCAGAAACTCTTCTGTGAGCGGCCCTGTCTAATCACTGGCTTTAAGTGCAGCAGTAAAACCACGATGTTAAAGCAACAGACATCTTATGCATATTAGCTCTCTGGCAGCGAGTTAGACAAGAAGTTTAATCCTCATAAGGGTCCTGATCTCGGAGCACAGTGCAGCCTGTTCACCAGCTCACAGACCAACAAAGTGTTTCTTCAATCTGAGCAAAACTCAGCGTTAAAACAATAACTTGTCCGTTTCACATGGAGGACTACTGCTTGACCTTGGAGCAGTTGCCAGGCAACCAGCAGTGACTCCTGAGACCTACTCCTCCCGAGCAAGAACTAATTTGGCACAACCCTCCCATTAACTGGCAAGCTGCCATCTTTACACTTCTGTGCTTAACTTTGAACAGAGCCGGGCTGGCTGCTTCCCCTCATGTGTGCACGCTGTGTGCTACGCTAAGCTAACTGGCTGCTGGCTCTGGTACACCAGCATACATACTGGGGGGATTGAGAGGTAAACATGTATGTGTGGGGTTACGTAAAAATGCATCCCTTGGTGGTAGTTTTATAAAAGCCTTACCTGACGTCCTCTCTTCCAGACTGATGCCCACATTTTTTGCTGGTGCTTCATATTAGCTCCTCATTGTAATTTTAATTTACTGTGGCTTTATGTTCATAATTGCTTCTCTCCTGCTGGCGTGAAAACCCATCAGCTGACATCTGATGAACTGGGACTCACTGCAGCTTACAAACACCCTCCGTCAGTGTTTGCTCAGGCATCCTGAGTCAGGAGTGACAGCCCGGAGTGCGCATGTAGATATGACCGCTAATTTGCTTCACAGCAGGGGCCATAATTCGACTCTAATTCAGCCTCTCTGCTCAACAGCAGTAATATATACAGAGGGGAGAGCAGCACAGGTGGAGCATGCTGAGTTAATGACTTAATAGCCAGCATGGGATGTACCTGGAAGCATGCCAGAGCAGCACTAATTACACTTCCTGCACGCCCGTGATGATCAGTGAAGCCTATCACGCAGATCACTCTCACCAATAACAAAGACCAACATCCAGCATGCGGCGTGAGGAAAAAAAGGTTTGGAGCTGTTGAGGAAGCCGTCGTGTGTTCTGTGCTGCTCACGTTATGAGCGGTGTTTTCACTTCACGCATCATTTGAGTTTCTGGCAAGTGGCAGAAACCGTTCATCACTGAAATTATGAAATAACTCACAATGCTCTCTGCCGGCCAGGCTGGAAACGTCTCGTCTGCGTTCTGGTCGTAGACAGTCGGGGAACCGCTGAACAGCAGGGACAGCCGCTGCACGATATGACTGCCCTTATGGAGCTGATCATTATGATGACAGATGCCCATTATAAAGTCATTTTCTCCAAAATACCTTGATGCAGCGTGAGTGCTGAAACAGTCTCTAAGTGATTCATTTGTGTTTGAATGACATCACGGCCAGCATCTGTGAAAACGGTGTTACAGTAGAACTCAGTGTGTGCTGGTTCAGAAAATGTAAGTCTTCTGTTAACAAATGTCCCGTGTACTGCTGTATATATGTAATACAGGTACAGAAACGCTGACATGTGTACATTCATGCAGTACAGTTGCTTCGAAGCATCAACGATCTGTGTTTGGGCTCGTTC